ATATATATATGATGAACGTTCGAATCACATTAATACAATTTTTATTAATTATTATACTGAATTTTAATGATTCAATCATTAAATTAAAAATTCTTAATATATAAATCAAGTATACAAATTTTTAAAAATTATTTGATATTTCATTTTATTAATTTCAATTAACGGATAATCATAAAATGATTTTATACATTAATTGAATTTGAATCTATATAATGAAGTATTATATGATTTTCAAATTTTTTAAAAATTTGTAAACTTGATCTATATATTAAGAATTTTTAATTTAATGATTAGATTATTGAAATTTAACATACACTAAGTTATTGGTTGAAGTAACTATATTAAGAATTGTTCAATAATTTATGTTCTACATCAAATTTTAATGATTCAACTGTTGAATTAAAAATTCTTAATATATAAATTAAGTTTATAAAGTTTTAAAAAATTTGAAAATTATTTGATATTCTATTTTATTAATTCAAATCAAGGTATAAAAATATTTTTATGATCATCCATTAATTTAAATTAACAAAAGAGCTTATTAAATAATTTTTAAAATTTTTAAAACTTTACAAACTTAATTTATATATTAAATTTTTTTAATTTAATAGTTGTATAGTTAAAATTTGATATAAAATATTATTTATTGATGTAGACTCGTTCCTAGAATTTCATATATATATATATATATATATATATGAAGAGAAATCTATTTAATTTAAGAGTAAATTTACTTAAATTTATTTTGTTCACTAACTCACATTCTACATCAAATTTTGATAATTTAATCGTTTAATTTAAAGTTTTTAACATACAAATTAAGTATGGAAATTTTATTTTTTACCTACTTTTATTATTATTATCTTTCTCTCTATTTTTTCATCTCTACCAAACACTATTTTAGATTATTTGGTTTATAACGTAAACATTATATCATATAAATAATATTATTACATAATTTAATTACATTTTTAGTCTACACTAGTATGTAAATTCAATTCTTTAAGTTAGAATAATAAACATAAAATATTAAATAAAATTAAATATGTATAATAATATAACCAAAATTATGTAATAATAATATATATAATATAACATTTATATTGTAAATAAATAAGTCAAATGAGTTAATGATTTTGATTTAAAAAAAAACGACTTCTAATTCCTAACCTCATTCGGTTGAAAAAGATAAAAATAGAAAATTTTGAATATAGCATCATATGGGTTGATGTGGCATAAACTATTTAAAAGCAAGTGTAAGTTGACCGTATAGCGCAGTGGATTAGCGCGTCTGACTTCGGATCAGAAGGTCGTGGGTTCGACTCCCACTATGGTCGACTATACTTTTTCTCATTTACATTTTTGTACCCAAAACAAGTTAACCTGTGTGAAAATATTTACATTCAAACAATTTCTTAGATAATTTAAATTCTAATTTGTATGAATAAAAAAAATTATAATTTGTATAAAATGATTTCAAACAATATAGATTAATGTTACTATGACTATCTGATAAAAAGTGAAATTACATTAAAATTAATATCGATTAGTTTTAACATGACCATGTAATTTTCATATTAATAATTGAAACAAAAAAAAAAATTGAATTACACATCAGATGACGCATATGTCGTGCATAACACGAGTTATGCCATTCATATAACGAATGATTATTGCCTAAGATATGATTCGTTCTTTCATTATAAGCTAATATATAAAATATCTCATAACTTTTTTTAACACACTTTATTATTAATTAAAGTTGATAAAAAAAAATTGCATTCATTTTTTATTTAACAAATCAGACTCATAATTATGTAATTTTTGATAAATTTTAACAAATAAAAAAATGTGTAACAAAGATGATAATTGTCAAATATGTAAATTTTATTTAATTTAGACAATCATTAAGTATATCTTATACTTTAGAGTCTTATTTTTTTTCAACAAATATGTAGTTAGGGTTAATTTTATTTAAATGATAAAATTGTTTAATGTTAGATATTTTTAATAGATTTCTTTGTTAAAGTTTTGACAAGGAGAAGATAACTTGAAGTTACAAAAGATTCAACTCAGGCTAGTTCCAAACCAACCAACCGGGTGTTATGAGTGAGCTTCTTCAAAGAAATTTGTTTACCAATTGAGTGCACTGAACAACCTTCTTTAAAGGAATACGTTTCAAGTGACACAATTACTCACTCTAAATGAACTTACACAAAGATTATCCTTAAGAGTATATGCTGGGTCGCTTAACTCTAATTGAACTAACAAATGAAAAATTCGCGTAAAGCGACTAAGAAGGGTGTTTTAAGTGAGACAAGTCAAAGGCAACAACTCCAGGTAGAATTTGATAGCTCGCTTAAGTAAGTCATTTGAGCACTCTAAATGAGCATGCACAGACAAAAGTCCATTTAAATTATTATAAATCAAGGTTTCATGATAAGCTTAGTGTCTATACTTTTATGATTAGAATTTTGGGAGATTAGAGAGAATTTCTATGAGAGCAATCTTGTAAGCACGGTTCACTAGAAGATCTCTTATTTTCTTGTGTGAAATTCTTAGTCATAAGAGACTAAATCTCTATTATTAGAGATTGATGCAATTATATATACTTATGTAATTCTCCTTCTTCACATTCAATAAATGTCCTTATCTAGTTAATCATTTCTACTTTTTATTTAATGTTTCTTGTGACCTAATCAACCATTGTATGATTTTATAATTTTATCTAAAGTTGAAAAACCCTTTAGAATTACGATTTAGATAAAATATTGATAAAGTTTATTATTAAGAATAAGATAAACTTTATCAATTAATTTTTAGGTGTTAATGTGAGTTATTTAACAAACTTTGTCAAAGAATTAAAATTTTTCTTAAGTAATTCAGAATTACTTAACTTATAAAATTAAGGTTTAAATATATTTGAGAATTATTGAATCAACTATTTAAATTATAAAATTGACTGAAAATTTGGAAAGATTTATATAAAGAAAATTAGTGAAATCAATTTCTAACTATTTTTATTATATAAATTTGAATTCTTAATTGATCTCCTACATGTTCTTGACTTTCATAATTTTATACTTTCTCATGCATTATCTCAAACAAATTAAATATTTTTAAATTATTTGTTTAATACTAAAATTAAATTAAATAATTATTATTTAAGTATTTTTAAATCCGATATTAACTTCTGTCTAATTTATTATTTACGATAATTAATATATTTATCAAATACATAACAAAAGAATATATAAAAAAAAATGTGTTAGTTAACACTATTCGTCGCAATGACAAAGTTTTATTTAACCAAACACAGAAATATTACATTCTCATGCATGTTTACATTATGAAAAATCAACTTTTAATTAGTGAAACACAAACTTCTAGTTTTTGCTTTCTAGAAACAATCAAACAGTACACTCCAAGTTTTTGGTTTTTTAGCAGCAATCCATGATCAGAATGGTTTTTCTTCTGTTCTAAGGAAAAAGAGGCCAGAAGGAACACCATCTGGTATCAGAGCCTATCAAAGGATATGGATACAAGCTTCTAGAAGGATATGGTATCATTTCCTTCTTCTCTCCCGATCATCTTTTTGTTTTCTATTATGGTATCAGAGCTCTGATTTTCAGGGCTCTGATTGCTACTTTTACACATGGCTGAAGTTATTGATCCCTCACAAGACCTTAGTTCCCCTTACCATGTCAGTTCATCTGATAATCCCTCCTTTCTCATTGTCCCGAATGTTCTTGAGGGGCCAAACTATCATCATTGGTCACATTCATTTCGAATGAGTCTCATTTCAAAGAACAAGATAAGTTTCATTGATGGAACCATAGAAGCTCCCACTCGTACCAGCTCATTGTTTCCAGCTTGGCAGAGAGCCAATATGCTGGTTGTTTCCTGGATGCTCAAGGCTGTTTCTCCATCCATTGCACAGAGCATTATCTGTATGGACAACGCCTTCGACATATGGAATGATTTAAAGGACAGGTTCTCACAAGGAGACATGATTCGCATTACTGATCTTCAAGAGATGATTTCTTCTTTCAAACAAGGTGAGTTAAGTGTTACAAACTATTTCACTGAGCTCAAAATTCTTTGGGATGAGCTTGATCTTTTGCGCCCATTACCTGCTTGTTTTTGTGCTTTTAAATGCACCTGTAGTGCTCTTGGGAATGTTGCTAAATATAAAGGACAAGACCAGGTTATTAAATTTCTAAGGGGGCTAAATGATAACTACTTGACTGTTAGAACTCAAATTCTATTGATGGATCCCTTGCCATCTTTGAATAGAGTTTTCTCTCTTGTTATACAACAAGAGAGACAAATTTTTGGTGATTAGTCCAAGGCAATGGCTGTTACTGGCAGAGGGGGCTATAAAAACAACACTGCAAATTATGGAAGAGGTTCTGGCTATGGAAGAGGAAGCTATGGAAGAGGAAATGCTTCTAAAATTTGCAGTCATTGTGGAAAGACAGGACATACCATTGATACATGT